GCGCGCCAGATTTTGAAAGAGTTTGGAACGGGCACGTTAGGTGCGGACTTGACTAGTCGATACACCAATCACCTCAACAACGTCGTTTCCTAGCTGAAACAAAAGGGCACACCTCTACCGTTCCCATCTTGATTCACACTCCAAGCCACTGTCCCAACATTTGACTTTTTGCATACTCATCTGTAAACCACACGCATGCTTCCATCTCATTCGTCTGCTTACGCAAGGCCGATATTGAAGCTGTGCGCGTCTCCCTCGCCTCCCAGACCGAGCCAAGTCATTAACGTTACCACTGTTTCTGAGGAGAGGGGCTTGCTTGACGCCTAGACAATTAGACCACGCTTCCTCGCAACACTCTGGAGCGTGGTCCGACAAGTTGGTATGGAATGGCATGGGACCTCCTCAGCGCGCGCATCTATCGTACATGTGCAAATCTATCGAGCCCATCGACAACATGGCTCGTCGTGCGGAGCTCAAAGTCCGCACGAAGCGCTTCGATCTCGTGCGCGCCTTCTTGCTTGCGCCCGATCTGGGATTTGCAAAGTGCCAGCGTGTTGGACGGATCTACACTGCTCACTGTGACTTCTTTCAACATCCCACAATCTGGCTGGCAGGTTTGAACTCGTATCGGGGAATGCGCAACAGTGTTGAGAAATTTTCAAGTGGACGAGAAGCCGGACCACGCCTTCCTCCCCGCAGCTCGCGCTGCGAGACGCGACGGTCAGACTGCCTTGCTATTTGTTGTCGCGTTTGCGCAGCGAAGAGCTTGGATATGTCCTTAAATGGCCTGTCTGCAGCCCGTCAAGGAATTGAGAGGGGCGTGCAAATCGTGGATGCCACGACGTCGTTCCTCGTTCCATCGCCCGCTTCGCCTCGGCTCGGGCTCGGTACGACGTGCGTGATGCCTTTCCCTCGGGTTTCAATGATCTTCAAATCCACATCTGCCTCGTGCTCATCGAGAGTAGGCAGATACGTTCGGGATCACTTGGGGACTTCATGCTCTGCTAGAAGCTGCGAGGGGACGGGAATTGAAGGGTTTGGCATGTCAGAAGTGCGCAGCACTTGTAATGAAGCGCCTCGATGCTGATCCGGCGACTGCTAGGCTTACCACTTCGCGCTCGCGCTCACCATATTTGGAATGCCATTCCTGATCTGAAAGATGTGGGCGCAGTTGGGACACACCATTTGGCCCTCGATGACGTGGATCTGTACGAGAATGAGGGATGGACCGGTGAGCACCACCATCTCAACATGCTCCCTATGCTTTCTGTCGCGCCTCCCGCGTCCACTTGAGCTTATCAGAGAGATCTTTATAAGCATTGCCGCAAAAGGCTCAGCAACAGCTTCTAGTTGATATTTGTTTTTGTATTGATGTTTCTCATCATTCTGCTCATGTGCCCTGTGCCACCGCATACATGCACCCGCAACCCTCACCGTAGATTCACTCACCTCGAGCAGCACGTGGTGCAGCGCTTTGAGCGTCCCATCATCGAGCATTGGGTCCGTCGGATCCGGACCTTTTTCAGGCAAGCTCGCATCGCCCAACTACCATGCAAGAGAAGCATTGCAAAGTGCAGGGCAATTGAGTCATCCAAGCGCTATTCGCTCATCTCAGCCTCCAGTCGCCAGATCAATTTCCGAACGCATGTCGGCCAGCCTGCGGAACTCACCTGTCTCGAAGCGACAACCAACGCATTCCAATCTACCTTGTTCAGAAATCCTCGTAAGAAAGCCTCGTTGAAATCAGCCTCGATCAGTTCCAGCTGAACTTCTTTGAAAGAGAGTGGGAAATTGTTGGAGGTGGATACGCAGGATTTGGCGTGACAGGCCAACAAGTTGTGAGTCAACAGACGCATCTTTGCAGAGGCTGTCGGGCTTGGCGTATGCGTGCGATTTCAGAGGCCAGGAGGAGAAAGGATGGCAGCAGAAGTGCAAGGCTTGGGTGGGAGTCAAGATGGGCTTTGGAGAGCTTTGACTTTTACAATCTTGCGCAGCGCTTCCAGTGTATGCGCAGCAAAGATGATCGTTGGTCCGGGCGATATCGATGGATCATGTGCTGGAGTCGCAAGAGGATTTCACGAGCGGTGTGCCGGCGCGATGGGGTCTTGAGGAAGGTACGGTATGAAGGGTAACGCAGACGTCGAGCAACATGCAGCGCCCAAAACGGTCGCGTGCCATGCATGCACACACGAAAAATCCAAGCTGTGCGCGCGGGCACGCATCTATCGCACGAGACTTTTCTGACAAACACGTGACCTCTCCGAGCGCAGTCCTGCCGAGGCGCGCACCCACACGCGCAGGAGGCTCTCATCGCTCCGCTTTTCGACGGCTCAAGTCACAGGTCACGATTCACGTTGCCTGCGAGAATGGCCGAGTAATCACAAGTCGTGAGTGGATGATGGAGGTACCTACTGCGTCCGGATCGAGCACCGACGACTGTCACTGTCTTTTATGATGCTCATCATCACACAGCGGGCTTTTTTGAGTGCGGCGGTTCGGCACTGCGACGGTGCGGCACATGCAACCACGCATCCAGCGCTCACGTGGATGCCGAGTTGCGGCAGTTACGAGCGCGAGTCGTGCCATTCTCGCATGGTTAGTGTGAGTCACGAGTGCTACCCTAGTTGCAGCAGCATGAGCGCCCGATCTTGGCTGATTCAAGTTTCGAGTCTTGTGATCGGGTTTGATCTGCCCGCAAAGTGGCGGTGCGCGGTGCCTGATGTGTGCCCTGTCTGTATGACTCGAATGGCGGGGGCTAGATGCTCAGCACCGCTCAGCGCTCAGCGCTTCGCCCTTCCTCTTCACATCCACGCTAAGCCGTGCTTCAGCCAGCAAGCGGAGTTGCGCCCCTCTTTAATGATGGAAATGGGTGCGAGAAGGTTCAAGATGTAGGGAAATGCGTCTTTGTGGCAATTTCTGAGAGCAGGTGACTCGTCTTTGACGTCAACTAGCACCAACGCTGGCAGAAGCTGGCCAAGGATTGGGCGCCAGTGAGGTACAAAGAGAAACAGCTTTCGATATTGATTGCTCCCCGTGCAACTTCCCGAAGTTTTGCCCCAAATCCACCAAGCTCCCTCCATTGGGTTTGCCGTCATGGATGTGCAACTGAAAGAAGACTTGGCCCACGTGACGCTTCGCCAGAGGCATCAAGTACTCGTGCGCTACACCAAGAATCTCCTCAACAACATCTCAGGGCACAGTCCGCTTCTCTTCGATGACCTTCTTCTTAGGATCTCTTCAGCAAGCGGCGTGGCTTTCTGCCTGCGCGCTTTCAAGCAAGTGGATTGGTGCTTGGATGCGCTACTCGTCTCCAGGCAAAGGGCACTGGATTCGCGCGTGGATGAGGCGGCAGTAAAGACCTTTGTTGACATCTGGAAGAAGCGCAATCAAGCTGAGGATCTGATGCGTGGCATTGCTGCTCGACTCGAACTTGATCCACACGAGTCTTTGCTGTTCGCTCTGTATCGTGCACTGAGCGCAAGATCTGCATCTCTCCTCGTCAAGGGTCTTTCAAAGATCAAGTATGCAGTCCATCGGGCTGAAGACACTAGGATCCCAGCCATTGAGCTCCTCGTCGTCCGCCTAGCACAGGATGTGCTTCAAGTTGATGCGCTCAGCAAGCTCTTACCCGTTTGCACCGCTTCGTCGATTGAGAACCTGCTATGGACACTTGACGATGAAATCTTGCTCAGATTGGATCAGATTTGCTTGGTTCTGCTCGTCGAAGCTCAGCCGCACGCAATCATAGGATGGATCGAGTCCACGGATTCTAAACGCACTCCAGAGAGGGCATCATTTCGTCAAAACTTGATAGCCAAAGTGTGCGTCGCGCAAAGTTCTTTCAGGAGCGAAAATGCATCCATAGGTCTTGCGTTCACGATGAGGCTCATCAAGGGTCAGGTTGCGGAAGCAAAGGTGGACCAGTTGAGCGTAGAAACGATACTCAAAGCTGTCGGCTCCCAACGTCAAGGCTCAACAAAACATCAATTGGATCTTTGCAATGCCTACTTCGCTTCAAGTCTTTCCCAGGAGACTGCAGTCTTGCAGACCAAAGGTTCGCTCAACAAGACGCTGCTCAAGCGTGCCGTTCGTGTCATCAAGCTGCTCTTTGCGCGTGACGAAGCAGAAGATGCAAGAGCTGCTTCTAGGCTGCTCGAGTGTCTTCCTAGCACTCCATCCTCAACTTACCTGAAGAACTTGACCGAAGACCGTCTGCTACGGTTTCCTCGACCATTGAGACCGCGCCTCATTGCCATACTGAACAAAGGTCCCAAGGCAACGTGGCAAGACCTGTTGGAAAGCGTGGACGAAGGGACGATGGTGAGACTTGATCTTTTGAGGATGTTGGACACCGCGCATGCGCTGGAGCTGGTCGATGCCTTGCAGAGCAAAGGTGGTACGTGGCCCGTGAGATGCGCAGGATCATGGGCTCCAAAGCGAATCACCCTCGGACGGACGAGAGTCACGAAGCTGGATCAACTCTCTCTTCGAGCTAAAGGCCGATTCGTTCTGAGCTGTGCACGACTCGTCATCACGGCTGCTGGGAGCGCCTCGGACGAGCCGTGGAGCGAAGTAGCAAAACGAAAAGATACGTACACTGAGAAAGACCCAGCTTTGAGAGCTGGCAAAGCTATCGTCGAGTCTTTTCTTCGAGGAGCAAAGCATCATGCCTATATTGAAGAGTTGCTCGTGAAAAGGGCCAAATCGGGCGAACGAAGAGGACATCACTGCGTCGTTGCATTGTGCTTGGCCCTCGTCTCTGGGGATGCAGAAATGGTGCTCAAGACTTTTGGAGCCTTGTTGGATCGATGCAGGCGAGATGCAGATGCCAGACTGGCTCTAAGCTCTGTCATCCACGTTCCTGGAGGTCTCAGCGAAGGATTGGCGATCATCTTTCCGGTCATTGGAGATGCGTGCTTGGATAAACTCGTCGCGTACGCTGCTTCTCGGCAGAAAGAGCCGGATTTCAATGAGCAAGAGACGATGGCTTGGGAACACTTCCTCTCGGAAGTACTCAAGAGACGCATCGAGGCCGTGCTGGAAGGTGATGATGCCGTGATTTTGGATGGGTTGCTCGCACCTTTGCAAAACGTCGACAAGTCCATGGTAAGTCCTCGTCCACAGAATGCGTATGAATGAAAGGGCACGAAAGTTGAAGCTTTATCTTGCTTCGTGGCTAGCGACACTGTCGTGGCGTCACAGTGACGCCTCACGATGCTGCTCGTCTGCCCCTGATTGGCAGTTGGCTTGATTGCCTGACCAAAAAGGAATGGAACATGTGCAGCTCTAATCGAAGGGCTTTCATACAGTCTCAGAAGAATCCATCAGTATTTCGGACGCTCGTCACTAGGATCGTGGAGCCGAGTGAGAACTTCATGTCGCTCTACACTTTCGCTCGTCAGTACGCCAATGCCTCTGCGGCTCTCGAGGATGCTGATGGAGGAGAGAGCGAGGTGATCGATGAGCAGGCCGAAGTGAGGCTTTGGAAGTGGGGCTTGAGCGAGGAGACGAATGCGCAAGAGATTCGTAGGAGGTGGGAGCACGGTACGCCGGGTCAAAAACGCCGCCTTATCAGTCTGTGAGTCCGAATATTCTGGCTTCTCGTGCCGCTCGCGTGCTCTTACTGAATCATCATTTGTCGCGTCATACAACCTCTTCGTAGCTTGGCCCTGCAAAGTGGCTTGCTACGAAGAGCGCTGCATCCTATACTGGGTCGGTATAGCGCCAGACAGCTCTATGTTGACGAGCTCGAGATCGACCCCCAGGTCTTCACCACTCTGCGAGTCCGCGCACGTGATCTTTGGCTAGACGCAAGAAGACCAAGATATCGTACTTCGGCTCAAAGCCTGTCGAGATTGACGGATCTCATACGACTCGACGTGCATGCTTCGGACCATCCCGAGGTACCGCAGCAGTGGCAGGACGCTACGCGATTGGGCTCGGAGCTCTTTGTAGCTGCGCCTGAAACGGAGGACGATATGGACGTGAAGCAGGGAGGGAATTGGCAAGAAGATTTGGAAGAGATGGTTGCTCTGGGACACATCGAAGTGGAGCAGGTTCTCTTTGCAGCGAGCAAAATCACAAATTTCCACGAGACCCTCGTGCCTATGCTCAAGCTCAAAATTCTAGCCATTCTAGCCCGAGCTTCGAACCCCGCACTCTTGTTGCCCGAGTCCAAGGCAATCCTGCTCGATACGGACCTTTCGGCATGGCACCGAAGCCTGTGCCTCAACCTTTCCATTTTGAAGAAGTTGCGCCGCCCAGTGGCAAGAGGGTGGATGTTGACGCTCTACAAGGCTTGCCAACATGCGATGCAGTACCATCGGCTGAGCGAAAAGGACAAGAGTGCTCCGCCTCCCGTCAAGGTCAGCACGGCCAAAGCATTGGTAGAGCGAGCGCGGGACTCGGGCATCTTCGATCCGGACGAGACGATCGACTTTGCGCTCCTTGTGTTGGAGATGATGCCACACATAGACGTCTACTTGCTTGTGGCAAACCTCTTTGTGCAATTGTCACTCAAGGGTATCGCATTGGAGCGATCTAGCGTTCTGGTTGCATTGCTCATTCGACGCCAGCCGATGGAGCATCGGAGCGGTCTCTTTGACAAGACCTTCAACCTTCAGCCTTGTCCACCCGACCAACAAAAGGAGGTCACCAGTCTTTTTTGCAACGCGACACGGTCTCAGCTGGATTTGAGCGACCGCGCAATCGTACAATACAACAGCACCATGTATCTGCCATCGCTCGAAGCGATTTCGGAAGCGTATCAAGCAGAGCTGGTACCGTTGATACATCAAGATTCGTCGAGTGAACTCCAACATATCCTGAGAGTCTACAAAACACCCATAGAAGCGCTCAATCAAGGCACAAGACCGCATCTGATTGCGGCGATCGCTCGAGCAGGAGGCGACGGTGCAGAGGCTTTCTTGGGCTTGCTGTATCAAGCAAGCAGGTGCATCCGCACGATGCAGCGGCAAGTCGATCAGATCAAGGACGAGGACCTGTCAGCGGAACAAAAGCATGGTCTGGACCGTCTGAGGTGTGTGAACAGCAGACGATGGATGAGAGCAGGGATGGTGCAAACGATTTGTCGAGCTTTGCGCTCCACTTTGGAAGACGAGACGCTCAGAAGAGCTTCTTCCAGCGCCTCGGATAGACTCATCAATCTGCTCGTGCAGATTGCGGGTCCCTACATCGAGCAAAGCGAGAGAAATACGCCGATCACAATCGTGCGGGAGCTTGTGCATCTGCACCTCGCCAAACCTGCCGAGCGCGGAGAGGTGCTCAAAGCTGCCCGGTGCATCCTCTCGCAAACTCAAAAGGCTGCTCGCTACTCGACCTCAACCAAGCTCGATCTAGAATTGCATGCGGGAGTCTACGCTATGGAATGGAGTTTGTTGGGCTGCGTCAGCATTTCGGAACAAGCTGCAACGACAATCGACCTCTTTGAGCGCTTCGTCAAGGTCGCGCAAGGCTATGCGGGAGCAGCGGCCTTTCGTCGCGCGTTCAAGCTGTTCGAATTCCAGACGGGCCATGCTGGACATTTGTTTGATCATGGCACGGACAACAAAGGATGGCATGCGCGTCTGGGACTTATGCAGCGTCTGATAGCACATGCTCGTCGACATCCAGACGAAGCCGCCCGCCAATTCATCATGGACAGACTGATCGACTGGTCAGAGGTGCTCGTCAAAGTTAGACTGCCGGCGGAGAAGGTTGCGCAAGTGAAGAGCTTTGTGCAGAAGATGCAAGACGGTTGGTCAGAGCTTGATCTGCAGGTAGAGCTGATGATCAGATCTGCAAATCTGTTGCAAAAGGAGGAATGGTCCCACACTGTAGCATAGCGCTGTTGCTTCGCTCTTGGTAGCTTCCGCTTCTGTTTACCCTCTTACTCGTCGCCAGTGGTGCCCCTTTGCACTCGACTGCACTGAGAAATGTCGCATTTTTGCTGCACAATTTACCGCGTCAGAGTGGAGGGAGTCACAGAGACGAGTTTTGAGAGATTTTGACTGCTATGTACGACTCAATGTGATTGTGAGTCAAGCTCCACGAGACAAATCGACCCTCTGAGTTTGTCTCGATACGTGATCAGTTTGAGTATCACCGCTTCGATTCACGCGTCCTCGCGCTTCGAGGTCTGCAGAAGGCCATGGTGCATACGCCACGGTCACGTGAGTGGCGGTGCAAAAAAAGGCGCGTTCTCCGCATCCGCCGAGATCCAAATTTGCAGCATTGATGATTAGCTGTAGCGGCAGCATACCATCTTACTCTCACCTTCTACGTGCAACTACAACAGGTCGATCAGAAACGAGGTGGTTCGTTCACTACACGCGCAGCTGTATTGAAACGTAGCATACACGCCACCATGAAGCTTGACGCGACCGATTTGCGTTATCTGACGTCGGACGAATGGCGCGTGCTGCGGGCATTCGAGACGCTCTCAGCTCACTATGAAGTAGTCCCCACCTCTGCTCTCTCCTCTGCCGTCGGATGCCTCAACTCTTCGTCATTGGCTAGGATAGCAGGCGGACTAGCCAAGCGTAATCTCGTGGCTAGGGTGAAGAATGCGAGCTATGATGGCTTCAGAATCACTTATGGTGGCGCGGATTGGTTGGCTGTGAAAGCGCTGAGGGAAAAGGGCCTGGAGGGTACAGGACCAAGAGTAGGCGTGGGCAAAGAGAGTGGTGCGTAGGCAAGCAGACCCTCCGAATACCGGATTTCCGTCGCGACTGAGCATGCATGCCTCCCTTTGACGTTGCATTGCAGACATCTACAGCGTCTCGACATCGTTCGAAGATCATCCAGAAGCTATCCTCAAGGTCCACCGATTGGGCAGGATATCGTTCAGAGCTGTAAAGGAGAAGAGGGACTATCTGGGCAAGCGGCAGAATGCGAGCTGGATGTATCTCTCCAAGTTGGCTGCCAAGAAGGAGTGGGAATTCATGAATGTGAGTTGACGTGCTGTAGAGGAGCGAGGGGGGAGTGTAGGGGGCACGCTGGGGACCAAGGCATGGTGGTGAAGCGCAAGTGCGGCAAAGGACTTGACACACACACACACTAGCTGCATGCACACCGTATTTATTCGCGCCGCTGACGCTACACGTCACTGCTCGATCTCGTAGGCGCTCTACGCTCATTCATTCCCTGTGCCTCGACCTTTGGCCTACTCACGTCACGCCGTCCTGATGACGCGCATCCCCGCCTATCCACTGCGCCAAATCGCGACGCTGCCACAGGAAGCCATTCCTTTGCTCTTCGATCAGCTGATGAATCTCATTGTCAGATTGGCCAAGGCAGGCCTGGTTCATGGAGACTTTAACGAGTACAATCTTTTGGTCTTGGAAAAGCAGTCGGAGGATGAGGTGGATGCGGAGAACAGAACCTACAGAGAAGAGACGAAGGACGAGAGGCTACGCGATGAGCGAGAAGAGAATATGACAGCGGACGGGGTAGTGGAGAAGGGTAACGGGTTCGAAAGGATTGTATTGCGAAACGCATCTCGCACCCCGTCTGAGGCGGACGGACGTGTCTGCGGGGACGATGATGAGCATGAGAAGCAAGATGCCGGAGATGAAGACTCGGACGTGGATGATTCGGAAGAAGAAATAGACGAGACTGAGATACACTTGCAAGATGGCACGACGCTCTCCGCTGTCCTCATCGACTTCCCTCAGATGGTGTCCGTTGAACATCTAAATGCCGAATTGTAAGCGCCGTTCGAGACTTGTCTGGGAGCACCAAATACGCCCAGCTAAGACGTCTCCCTTGTTTCCTGCCAGCTTCTTCGATCGCGACATCGATTGCGTCATTCGGTTCTTTCACAAGAGGTTCAGATATCAAGTATCGCGAGAGGACTGTCCAAAATTCGGCGATTACGTCTCGTCCGACAGAGCGTTCAGGCGAGCCCAGAAGGAGCGAGAGAGAGCTTCGAGGCGAAGTTCAGACGTCGAAGACGGCAACGGTAATGCACTGCCAGCGGAAGATGAGGACGACCTGATGCTGGATGTCATCACGGATGCGAGCGGTCTTGCAGGACTCATCAAAAGCCGGGAGCTGGAAGAGGTGGGTGCCGATGATTGCATGTTGTCCGAATATGTCGAGGGACAACTTCGAGACGACGCCACAACGCGACATACTCACTTACTTTTTCATCCCCATCTTGCCGCAGTACACGTCTCGACTAAACGTCAAAGACGAAGGAGCTCCAGGCGAAGAAGCGGATCAGAGTGAGGACGAAGACAAAAGGGAGCAAACGTCAGAGACAGACGACGAAGACCAGGAAGGAGAAGATGAGAATCCTTATGGACGTCGGACAGCCGTTCTCGAAGACAGGCCCCCCGATATGCAAGGGCCGGACATTCCGAGCATGTCTCGTCGACCACGTCAAAGGCGCCCAGGTAGTCATCATGGCGCATCTACGCATTCTGGACCAGCTTCCGCACGCGACGCCTCGCTACCTTCTCGGGGGGCAGCAGAAAAGGCGCTGAAAGAGGGAGACGATCGATTGATTCAGCTCAGGATTGCGGCGGAGAGGGAGAGGAGGCAGAGAAAAGAGTTGAAGCATCATGGCAAGAGCAAGAGGGGACCCAACACTGGACGCAAAATGCCAGGTGGGAAAGCCAAAGGTGTTGCGGCGAAGATTAGGGACGCTGATGCGTTTTGAAGGATGAGAAAGTGGATGATGGCCTGCGCATCTTGATCGTGAGGATGCCAGGCGTAGCTACACGCAGCATGGCTCTGGCATCCTCACGAGTTTGAGCGCTCTTGCTCAGCCCTCTCCCTGGACCGCCCTGATCCTCCAATTCATCTTGCCTATTCGAGTCATCAAGGCGGCATCCGCGCTTCTTCGCCCCTCGTCCGCTGCAATCCATTCATACCTCTGTAAGACGCTCCCATGGGCGCCTCGCAAGCGAACGCCTGGGTATTTCGAACCCCAGATTTTGACGGAATGACTTGAAGAGCCGCATTGTCGTTGGTCGCCGTAAGAGTCGCACCGTCGTTGGTCGTGGGGATTGTACAAAAGTCTCGAGAGCTTGACAGCCGAGTCGAACGTGCAACTTTCGTGAAGGCCACGTGCATTTCACATCTCAAGAGGATTTTCTGAGGGGACCGCTCGTTGCTCGATCCGAGTTCAGTGGGTGAGATCGAAGGGAGCTTTGTCGTTGATCGCGCTCTTCGCCATTCACGATCGAGGCCGCTTTGATAGGGGCGATGCTTTGCACTGATCGATCGCGACGGTGGCGTGAGGCAATTGGACATGACGAGGAAAGCTTAGCGTGAGTGCTAGTCCGCTTCTCGTCTTTGAGATCACGCACTTGGTCAATTTGAATTGTTGCAATGGGTTAGGCGAGTTGACCGCTGCAAGGCTCACACGTGCCACCGAATTTGGTCTGCTGTCCGTCGACCGGGCTCTCACTCGATCAGCACAGAGTTCCAACAAGATGAGAGATGCTCCGACTTGTACTTTGACGGTCAAGCTACACTCCAATCATTCAAAGCTGTCGGATTTTGGATTCCTGTGCGTGGCTCGGACTTTGACGCTAAGGTGGGCAACCAATCGAGGCTATCTTATTTTCGTGCACGGACGTGGGATGGTTCACACTGCAGATATCGTTGGCAATGTTTGACCGGCTCGTCTAGATTGAGGCTCTTTGATCATGGAGGGCTAGACCTAATCGCCACAATTCGGCCCCTCGTATCAAGCTAGCGGTAGGTTGGTGGCAACAGCACGTGCGCGAGTCGTCTGAAGCAAGAGTCATTCGCTGGCCTACTGAGCTGACTCGCATCGGACCATTCGTAAGCTGCCGGGTATAGATGTTGCCACAAACCGGGACCTAGGGGCTGGACCTTCGGGGATTTGTAGCCTGCGGCTAAGTCGACCTTGCACGACACTATCCCTCACGCTAGCAAATTGCTCGGCAATGGTATCGAGCCGGACGAGGCCTCAATGTCATAGAGCAGGACGCTTTCGAAATTCGCCCCTGGTGAACCTGGTCTCAATCGTGCACTGCATTATCGTTGAGGTATGATTTCAAATTTCGCGAGTAGTTGGACGGGTGCATCCACAATACAAGCACCGCCTAGCTTACCAAAATGGCGCTTGTACAATGCCGAAGGACCACGGTCGTAATACACGGTCAAATCGTCGATAGGGAAAAGTGGCCAATCAAGAATATGCCTCTCGACTTGTGGTACAGGTTGTACTTTGACACGTGCCTGGAGCTCCGCTCTTCTTGGCGTTCCAGCCCCCTTCATTCAGCCGTGATTGCTTCTCGAGTTGTGACAGTGGCGAGCACTTCTGAGCATCAGTGCACGCGGATCGTGTCCCGGGCCGATTGGCACATCTGAGACTGTCAATGTTCGTACAAACACGCCTGCTCGCAAAGAGTAGCTTCAAGCTCGGAACGTAACGTGACGGCCATCCAAAGACCCAGCGTACGCTACGATGCTCCTTGTTCGTTGGGTCATCGCATCTATCGCAGCCTATCCCTACCATGTCATTCCATTTCACACACGTGACAGACCGGACCATCACGCCGTCTGCTCGTAGCCCTGAGCAGTTTTGAAGGGGACAACGAAAAAGAATGGCGAGAGCACATACTCTGCGACGAGCAAGCGTCCCCCCCTCCAGCTGCAGCTGCAATCACGCGTCGCGCTTTCGCGGATGCCAAGAGCTGCACGCTGCATGCGGGTCTGCTCGATCTGGCATTCCAGACTCCGCCAATGGAAGAGGCGTTGAGCGCACGTTCGCTCTTGCATGAGTCAAAAGTGTCGGCGGGGGCGTGAGGGCCGCACTCACGATTCCGGGGCCTCTTTGACGCTCTTGCTGCTTGACCACGATGACCCTGTCCTACTACCGCTCTGTGCGTCCAGCTTTGCTCCCACGCTTCCGGACGCGCATCTTCGCGCGCCAAGCTAGCAGAACGTGCCCTGCTGGTGCGTGACGCGCAGACTGATCAGCGCACCTTTTCAAGCTCCTACGCCCTTCCTCACACGACACGACACTGCAACATCGTCAGGAAGGTGTACCGCTGCGCCGGCGAGTGCTTCGTGAAGGAGGAGTCGCTGTGAATTGACTCGACGACAGCCGCTGCTGGCAATTCCGCTCACAAGTCGGCTGTCTCCGAGGGGAAAGGAATGGAGAGCCTCGGTACGCTCTGAGCTGCACCGCTCTCTTTGACGACCGGAGCCGAGCACCAGATTCCGTTGCGGCATGGCTTCTGCAGCACCTTTGCAGCCCCGGAGGATGTTTGATTCATGGTCTGTGTCCCTCTCGTTAGGCCGCAAGCGATTAGGCTGAGTTTGAAGTAAATGTCCACATGTTGAAAGAGGACCGATCTCCGAAGCCCTTCTAATTTCGGTTGCGACAGCAATAAAAGTGTGTCAGCTCATTAGCGCATGTTTCGCGCTGCAAAGGCCAGACTCGGCCAACTCTCGCCAAGAAGATTTGGGCACGAGGTAGGGACGCCAAAGGAGTTTGCCCTACTCAAACATCGTACAGGTACGCTAAAGATGCCATTGATCACGACCAATGCGTCAGGCGTAGCGCCGTTCACCGGCTCAGTATACAGCGGGCGCCTGGATGGATTCTTCTTGCGGCGTTCGAACCTTGCAGGAGGTCGCATGTCTTGGCAAGGTGGTCTGCCTATAGAGTGCTTCTCCCCGCAAGCGCCACCATGCGAGTGTACCGAAATTGGTTCCTCTTCTCCGGCCTTTCGCTCCATTTGCAGATACGGTGCGATGCGACTACGAGTGGACAGAGGCAGCCGACGACAGCCGCAACCGCCCGCTCTTCCGTGCCGCAGGTCCGAAACATGAAAGACTCGCTTCTACAGCCTGGACGTGCAGATCAAAGTGATACCAGGAAATCCAGACCTTGCTCGTGGACCTCTGCACGAGTGTACACGTTCGCAAAATGAACGCCATCGGGCAACTGATCGAGCTCGGGCGGGGGCAGCTATTGCGAGCGCCGATACCGCAGCGCTCGCCCTATCGCAGACGTGCAGAGTCAACGGCGCTTTCAGGCACACATTTTCAAAGTGTGGCGACACAGGTGTGGCTGCTGTTGGTGTTGCAAATTGGTAGAATGGCAGTTCGGACGACACAGAGATCAGTCAGTCAGCATCTTCTTCAATCGCGTGTAGCAAGCATCTGTTGCCATCTGAAAGCCTTAAGAAGAGGCATCCTCGGTCCTTGGATAATGATCCTCCCAGGTCGACAAGCCAAACTCAGCTTCCACTTCCCCTCCTGGCTCTCGCTCCCGACTACACCTCACCCCACCCTACAGTCAAGATGCCAGTCCTCACTCAGTACACCTATGTGTTCGTCATCGGCACCTTCTTTGCCATGTTGGATGCGTTCAACAATGGTGCCAACGATGTTGCCAACGCTTGGGCTACTTCTGTCTCCAGTCGCAGTATCTCGTACAGAGCTGCAATGGTCTGCGCCTTGGTCTTTGAGCTTCTCGGTGCTCTGACAGTGGGCGCACGTACCGCCGACACCATCAAGAACGGTATCATTCCCAATGCCGCTTTCCAGGGCAATGCCGGTGTTCAAATGCTCGCTTTTACTTGCGCTCTTGCTGGTGCCTCTACCTGGGTCATGTGGTGCACTCGTCACTCTGCCCACGTTTCCTCAACTTACTCTTTGATCTCGGCTGTCGCTGGTGTTGGTGTTGCCACTGCTGGTGCTCGCAACGTTGTGAGTACACATCCCCGGCGCACTAGGCAGCGCACTTTCGCTCACGCTTCTATCGCTCCTATTCACACAGCAATGGGGTTGGAACAACGGTTCAGGTCTTGGTGCCATCTTCTCCGGTCTTGCGATGGCTCCCTTCGCCTCAGCAGTCTTCGGCATGATCATCTTCTCCCTGATCAAGTTCACCGTGCACATCCGCCGCAACCCAGTCCCATGGGCCGTCTACACGTCGCCATTCTTCTTCCTCGTTGCTGGTACCGTTTGCGCTCTCTCCATTGTCTACAAGGGCTCTCCCAACCTCAAGCTCAACGCTCGTCCACCCTGGTTCATCGCCTCGGTCACTCTTGGCGTTGGCTTCGGTCTTTTCTTCCTTGCCGGTCTGTTCTTTGTCCCATGGCTCCACGCCAAAGTCATCAAGAAGGACCAGGAGCTCAAGGCTTGGGAAGTCATCAAGGGCCCTCTGCTTTGGAGCCGCCCCTCGCACGCTTCGGAGTCCGCCGCTGCCAACGTGCCCAACTACGCCGTCGTCCAGCACGGCGACGAGTCTGCCACCTCTTCCGTCGACGGTCACTCTGGTGCTGCTTACAATGATGAGAAGATCGCCATCGATGAGAACTCCAACCCCGCCGTCAACGAACTCGTTGCTCCTCAAAAGTCGTACAAGGAGCTCGAGGCTGAGGCCACCGAGCGCTTCCACGCCAAGCTCCGCGCTGGCAAGGGACCTCTGGCATGGGCCATGCGCTTCTTGCACAACAACCCCATGGGTGCCGGCATGATCTACGAGAGGCACAACCTGGTCACTGCAGTCAGGCGCGTTCCCGCTATGATCGTCGTTGGTGCTCTGTACGGTATGAACTACGACATTCACGCTGCCCAGATGGGAACGGCCGGAACACCCGAAGGCGCCCGCATGGAGAAGGTCTACAACGCAGCCACAAAGTACCCCAACGAGGTCGAGCATACTTACAGCTTCATCCAACTGATCACCGCATGCACTGCTTCTTTCGCTCACGGTGCCAACGATGTCGGTAATGCTGTTGCTCCCTGGGCTGTCATCTACTCTGCATGGTCCACTGGAGACGCAGCGGCATCCAAGCTTCCAGTTCCTCTCTGGCAGATTGCCGTGCTCGCACTCGTCTTGGTCCTTGGTTTCGTCACCTACGGATACAACATCATGCGGGTCATGGGTTCCAAGTTGACCTACCACAGTCCTTCTCGTGGAACTTCCATGGAGCTCGCAGCCGCCATCACCATCGTCATCTTCTCTCAGTACAAGCTGCCAGTTAGCACCAGCATGTGCATCACTGGTGCTACTGTCGGTGTCGGTCTCATGAACGGCAAGCTCCAAGCTGTCAACTGGCAACGTGTCGGTCTCCTCTTCCTCTCTTGGGTCGTCACCATTCCCATCGCTGGTCTGCTCGGTGGTATCCCCATGGGCATCATCCTCAACGCTCCTCAATTCGGCCGCGTCTGAGGGGTCGCCCTGCAAAAGGCTTGCCCAGCTTTGCTCGCAATTGTTCTTCACCCGGATCGATCCTCTCTGGTCAACACGTCATGTACATCTCCCCCCCAGCTCCGCTCCGCTTTCACCTGCATATAGATCCGAAACGTCACCTGCGCTTTACCCTTTACCGTGATGTCGAACGACTCGATGACAACAAAAATGAGATGATCTCCTTGTCAAAACATGCGTGACTGCCATTCGGTTGGGCAGTCTGTTTCTCAGCCCAGCAAGCTTGTCTCGCCTTTGCGCGACGAGACCAGCCTCGCTTGAGCCTTGTGCGCAGCACTCCATGTCCGACTGATAGAGGATCGTAGAGAATATCATAAATCATGGAATCGTTGCAGACCGATAAAGTCTACGAAGATGAGCGTTCGAAAGGACTCTTTACGGCTTGCTTGCGCCCCCGGCACATTCAAACGCCGCAAGGACGGTGAGCTATGCAAATCGATTGTCGTGGCAGACTTTACATCGCTGCTACTTACGAAGCGACTGCGCAAGTTTGAGGGCGAAGATCTGCAAGGGCGTCAATAGGAAACGCGATGGCGCTTCACTCGCTCCGTCTGGGGAAAGAAAGGCAGCGTGCGCGGGGAGGCATATAGTCGAGTGCTAGCGACCGAGGGGGTTCGGACGAGTGAGACACATTGCAAACTTGCAATAGATGATGCCAAAAATGGCTTGTGCGAGCTGCCCTCACGCCTTGCGTGCGCGCGCTCTCTCGCTCATCTCGGCCGTTGGTGAATGCAAAATCGATGCGAAGCGACATAGAAAAGGCTTGAAGCGAAATTCTGCTGCCAATGCGTACGCACACATGTCCATTCCCGAGCTGCCAAGTGCGAAGGGCTGGATGGTGAGAGTGAAAAGTGATGCGATGGCAAGGCACCCAACGCGCTCCTGTCTCCTCCCATGCCGAGGTAGACCCCATTTTGTTTCTTCTTGCAAGTTCAAAATGCGACATCCCAGCACTGCCCCCTGTCTGCACGTTGTGAAATGGCCCCGAGTCTACTGGCTTATTGGTGACGGTGTCAACAGCACCGTTTGATTTTCCCTAGAGCTTAGGAGATCCTAGACTCATTGCCTGATCTGCCATCCGATGCGCGTCAATCTTGTTCATGAAGGCGCGGATCACGCCTGAATTTCTCAACGCTTGTTGAGATGGCTCGTTTCCAGACATCAGCAAGCTCGCGCAGCTTTTCGGAAGCTTCCGAGAGCGTTCCCGTCCCACTCCATCTCGAGCGATCGACAGACCCCAAATCCAAAGCATAGACAAGCAAGCCGTCACTTGCGCATCAGTCGTGCAGGTACTTCGCGCTGCTCACGAATCACTCGAATTCGTAAATGCTCCGATCAAATGTGTGCGAGGAATTTGACCCGAGCCAATCTGTAAGCGCTCTCCGACAGCCGAGACGTCCTGTGCTGGCACGATTGTCTATTGCCACAATTGTGCCAAGGCACAAGGCGATCGTCCCCCCCTTTCACACTCGTACCGCCTTTCGTTTGTGGTCGATCTCCTTGTTCCCGACCCACCAGGAGCAACTTTAAAATCCCTGTGACACCAACTCAACGAATTCTCCTTCCCCTGCAGGGCAAAAGCAACACCCTTTACTCTTCATCCTTGGCACCCGCCACCTCGCTAGATACGCGCTTGAGCGTCTTGAGAAAATGACCCAGCATTTCCGGGTCGACGCCTGGCGAAATGAAAGGAAAGTGTGAGGACGTGTCAGTGCCTTTTCCCGGCTGTGTGGATTTAGTAGGGTCGCGCTTGCTGGCTGTCTTGAGATGAGATGGAGCCAAGCCGAGCGAGAACGGCTGACATCCCAGCGGGATCGATCTTACACGAGGGGGGCACAGCATTCGCGTCGAGAGTCGAGACCCAGACCAGGAGCTGCTCTCTCGCATGCATGCTTCAGGCTAGCACCTCTTGAGTGAAAGAGCAAACTCACCAGGTGTGATTCCGTGACCCAAGTTGGCAATCCAAGCGCCCGATCCTCCAAAGCCGCCCTTCTTGGCCCTGCACAGCCTCTCCACTTCTCTCTCGATGGCCGTTTTACCAGCATAGAGCACTGCGGGGTCCATGTTGCCTTGCAGAGCGACGCTGCGCCATTCGGCATTCGGAGAAGCAACAAGGTGTTTGTCGCAATACGGTCAGCAGACGTTTCTCGGATGCGCGCAAAGTTTTGATGCGATGCAGCGTTCGCTCTGCGCTTATTGATGCTCCACTCACCGATGGCCCGCCTCTGCGCCCACCGCCTTCTTGTTAAAGACGACGCCAGGCGCAGCTTGTTGCACGATATGTCTAGCCACAGCCGGCTCCACGGTCCAATCCAGTCCCACGACATCGTAGCCAGCTTTGGCAATATCGGGCAAAGAATGACCCAATGCTCCTTTGGCAAAGACGATCATGGGGACGGATTTGCAGGATGTGCACGAGAGGGAATCTCGCACGCCGGATGCTATGTACTTGAGATAGGGGAGCGAAAAGGTCCTGAAATCGTGCGGAGAGAGCTCGCCGGCCCAGGAATCAAAGACTTGCACCAACTACGGATGCGATGCAACATCGACGAGGCGTGCGGGAAAAGGCGGCATGAGCATACATGAGAGCGTCTTTGGTGCTGCCTCCTACTACCCTACCCACTCACCTGAGCACCAGCTTTGACTTGACCGACCAAGAACTCGACGCAGAGGTCGGCGACTCTTTGCAACAGTTCCTTGCTCTCCTCTGGATACTTGAAGAGCCATCTCTTGGCCTTTTCGAACGTCTTGCTTCCACCACCTTCAACCATATAAGCCATGAGAGTCCAAGGCGCCCCGCAAAATCCGATCAGCGGCACTTCGCCATCCAATCCCTGTTTGGTCAACTTGATAGCCTCATAAACGTAACCCAACTCCTTTTGCACATCCACCTTTTTGCTCAAACGAGACATGTCCGATGGTTCGTTGAGAGGATTGGGAAAGTGAGGTCCGCGTGCTGGCAGCATCTCCACCTGCAATCCCATGGCTTGAGGAATGACTAGAATGTCGGAAAAGATGATGGCCGCGTCCAAGAGACCCGAGTAGCGACGGATGGGCTGCAGCGTAATCTCTGCGGCCAACTCTGGAGTCCTGCAACACTCGAAGAATTCGTGCTTTTCCCTCAACGCTCGAAACTCTTTGCGGGCGGCGACCAGCGGCGAGTGGGGGAAAGAGAAAGAAGAAGCATAAGCATACGATGAGGCATGCCAATCCCACCGCCTCCTCGAAAAAGGGAGGCAAGAGATTGGGAACTCACCGGGCAGATATCTTCCTGCTTGCCTCATCACCCACACAGGCGCCCTCTCCGTCTCCTCACCACGAGCAGCACGAATGATGAGATCATTCTTGAGCCCAGGTTCTTTGCTCCTGCTCTCCAATTCCGATTTGCGAGTGGTCAGCGTGGAGTTGAGACGCGTCAGTAGCGATGGAGCGGACATGATATCGATGGGCAGTGTGTGTGGCGGAGTGAGAGAGGGAGAGAGGGAGAGAGGGAGAGAGGGAGAGAGGGAGAAGGGTGGAAGCCTGGCAAAGATGTGCTTGGCGAGATGGTCGCTGGTGTATGCAGTGAGACTGTGGAGCGAAGTTGATGAGTCGTGTCACGAGGCGCTTCAAGTGCAGTCCTATAGCGAGGCGAGATCTGTCGGCGCATGCTGTGATCCTGTGGAGCGTTTGGTATGCAAGATGCGCAACCACGCCATTCTTGATTCTTGATTCCTGCCTTGTGCTCCACTCACACTCACACTCACCACTCCTGACTACTCACACTGTGTGCCGTACAGGCGTGAGTACATGCATGGCCCATAACATACGTGCAGCACTCACCACTTCGCACCCAATACATGTGAATGGCTTTTTGGGCCTTTTTGGGCCGGCGGGTCTGTCAGGTGAAAAGGCCCACGTGACCTCAGCACCACCCCGCGTTGCACGCGCGCGCGCCCGGCGTTGTAGAGCATCCATCCTATGCACGCACGCAGGCAGCATGCATGCATGCACACCCTCCTCGTCCTACACTCCCCACTGCCACCATCATGCCCGCTTTTCTGCATTCTTTCAGCTTCGAACTCAAAACGCCTAGATCCAAGTCCCTTGCGGCAACTGAAAATAAGTCACGCGATCAAACAACATCTTCAATGTCAGGTCGACCATTTGTTGACACGTGCCTGCTGCGCTCAAGAGGAAAGCCCGAGTGAAGCTCTGAGCTGGCGCGAGCACATTCCAACATGGGCTACTATGACGTCCAAAGTGAGTCTTTTGAGGAGCTGAATGTGGTAAGCAAGGGGGAAGTATGACAAAAGTGCTCCGCTGATGCTCCGTATTTCCAAGACACGTCGGAGAAGAAAGAGGTGGGATGTCAAGCTGGCACGATGTGGAGCTTGTCCTCTTACAAGCCTGGATGCGGTGTGCAAGCCCTGAGGAGCGATGATGTCGAGACGAGCTGGCAGTGAGTTGCGCGCGCGCGCTGTGCTGGTGCACTTGAATCACTCGCTGCAACATGTGGCACTGTCTGAATACTACGTCGTCTGCTTGTCGCGCCAATGCCCTACAGCTCCGACGGCACGCAACCTCATCTCATCAATATCCAATTCTCAAAGAGCACATTGCTCACCGTGAGTCTGCAAAGAAGCGGGACACAGAAGGTCGTGTGCTCGTCGCCACTGGACAGAGCGCTGAACAGTATGCACGGCACGTATGCGGCTGCATCGCAGCACATCTCTTTGCACCTGAATCACTCGCTGGACGACAGCTATACGCCTAGCAAGATCCTTGTCAGGGCTGGCACGCACTACCACGATCTAGTCGACGTTCGTACTCGGTCAGTCCGAAGCGCATCACACCTCCCCAAGTTCAGGTCGCAAGCTCACCTCGATCATGCTTCTCGTCTCGCATCCGCATCGCACTGTCTGATCTCATCATCAGAACACTCGACAAGCCGGTAGGCTGGTATCACTTTGCCTTGTCCAAGCCTTCTGCGACGCATAGCGAAGAGACGGATGATGAGAAGGAGGATGCGCAGCTAGATGCTGTGGTGAGAAAAGATAAAGCTCAGAAAGGTGGAGGTAGGGCAAGCCGAGAGGAGCGAGAAGGAAAGAGCTGGAGAGGACGCAATCTGCCCAGTGAGGTTAGAGCGAATCGACCAGAGGTGAGTGACGATTGGGGAAGAACGATGGCTAGTCAGCTGTGGTGGTGAGAGGGACCAGCTCAATTCAGCTTGTGCATTGCTCACCATCATATCGTGCTTCGGCAGCCCATACAAGCGTACCTGCTGCAGGTGTGCATTCAGCAGTGTCATCTGAACGGCAAAGACACGCATGTACGAGGCCTAAAAGTGTGGGGACCAGCTTCAGCTTCTACCAAAATCACATCCAAATCAGGCAATCACTCGACTTCGACTACTGGTCTCCGATCCCTGCGCACGGGTCAAGATACAGGCATGGGCTTTCGCAGTTCAGCCTTTTCAAACATGGTAGAGTCGAGCAGAACGTATGATCAACTTCGGGGCGGAGAGCCGCACGCCGCTACTTCCACATCCACCCCTTCGGATGCGAAAAGGAGAGCTATGAACGCTCAGTCTTTGGATAGAAGGAGGTTGAGGGATAGAGCAAAAGAGGCGCTTGATCTGCTGGATAGGCACGAGATTCGAGATGGGGATCTGGAGAGCTTGATGGATGAAGAAGAGCAGGAGCAGAGTGGGACGGATGAAGATGATGAGACGAGCGTGGAGCAAAAAGGCGCACGCGGAAATTTTGTGATCGGCCAGAATCAGAGGCGTACGGCACCGAGTAGAGAAGCTCAAGATGTCGGTCTCGGCCTGACTGGCTACAGGACAGAGGCTCTTGCAAGGGTCAGGAGGAGAGATTTTGGAAGCGTCGACATTAGATGAAGTGCAATGAGAGCTTTACTTCAGCATCGCGAGAGATTGGACATTGATCGCGAAACGAGAGGAGCTTGACCAGATTCTCATGGTCACCTCGACATGGGCATAAAAGAGCATGTGAAACATTTCGGAGTAGCGCGAGGAATTGGTGAAAGGCCACTCGTAGACGCCAAGGTAAACTTGGCTTGGGCCGCGCAGGCTCTTGTTGCGAAGCAATGGACCTGGGAAGAGGCGCTGCGCTGCGCTGCGTGGCGTCCTAGGTAGGTGCGCTATACAAGTCAGCCGACCGACATTGGAAGACTGCACACGCGATCAGCCTCACTCACATGCACATGCACTTGCACTGTGCAGCGCTCACTTCCACGTGTAAATTTCCCAGCAGATAGTGTCGAGGATTTCGTTGTTGAAGGAGTTGCCGTCGTCGGGATCGCCGACGCTACGGAAGCATTTTGCAGATTGAAAGCGCGATGCGTCATGCATGTCAACATTACAGAGCGTCGAGGCGAGATTTCTCAAAAGCAAAGCAAAGCAAAGCAAAGCAAAGCAAAGCAAAGCAGGGCAGGGCAGGGCAGGGCAATCGGCAGTCAGGTGCAGGGGCGATACTCACGAGCAATCGGCCTTTGCCCATGGACCATCTTTGTGCTGACTAGCTTCGCCATCCCGCCTGAAGAAAGGCTTTGCCTGAGAATTCATCTTGCTGCAGGTAGCCGCCCAGAGCGCCTGAGCTGCGACAAAATTCGAGGCGCCGTGAAACTTGCCTGGGCAATATTCTGCCCCACGGACATAGCTGACGGTCAAAGCGTTGACGGGATCTCCATCTCGCACATAGGGCTTCCAAGGCTCTTCAGGTTCTTTGGGCATGCGGAAAGCCTGAACCAAGAGGCTTTTCGTCGTGATCGAGACGACCAGGAGCAATACCGAGCGCAAACAAGAGCCTCGCATGATGATAGCTACTTTTGTGAGTTGAGCTCGGGCAATCGTCGCGAATTTGAGCGATGCGGGTTGTTTGTGTGGGGGAATCCAAACCGAGCTGATCACTGACCAGATCGAAGCCCTTATATACGCGCTTCCCCTACGTAAACAAAGAAACGCTTCTAGGGACCCGTGGGAGGGGGGTTTGAGTGGGGACACAGGTCACCTCGCCCCAAAGGCAACGTCTGCGCAAATGAAACAGCGTCACACACGGGTACTCGAGGCTCAGTTGAAAAGAAGACTTTGGAAGCACAATAGGAGTTGCAACAGTCTCAAGAATCGGCTCGTGCCTGTCGGCCATCGGTAGACACTCATCAGCGGCATGCATCGACATTTCACAAATGAGCCATTTGAAGACGGGCCAGACTGATATTTGGCGGCCGACGATCGACCGCCACCGCCGCTTCCAAAATTGCCTTTGGCGCCGGCTTGCGGTCGCGAGAGTACCGACATCGAACGAGTCGGGTCGAGACGCAGCAGCTGCCGGCCGCTTGGCCAGCAAGTCAAGACGCATAGAGTGCCCTGCGCAGCCAATCGCAGGTACAATAATGTGAATAAAGGAATACGCGGCGGCTTCACACTTCTAGGGGCATGGTCTCAGCATATGAACCTTGGCGCGTAGCCTCGACAACGGCGGCGCATTGCTTACGCTGATGTGGGCACAGAACAGCACTTTCGTAGGTGGTGCATGCCGCCGCTCACAGTCGACGTTATGCGGTTCGAACATGCGCTCGCTGGAGGTCGCGCGCTCGAACACCTTCATGCACGATCAGACTTCAACGAAACACGCATCGTAAAATCAACTGCAATTGGCCTGCAAGGCGAAGCTCACACGAACCGGCAACGAAGTACTCGACTGATGTACCTTTCCGAGGTGACGCCATTATTGCGAACTAAATCTGGGGTTCACCTGTCAGCACTCGGTACAAATATCAGAGGGACCTTTGCACTCTCCCCTTACCTTGCGATTCTCTACGCGTACTACCAGAAGTAGTATGACCAGCAGATTTTATTAAGCACGTCGGCGCTGATGGACGTACCGGTGTTAGGGTCGCCGATACTGCAAGACGCATCCGATGCATTGCAAATGTAGGACATCTCAGCATGGGCAGTTTGGAACGGACGAATGTCACGTTGCCCTTCAGGCGGACACGATAGCGGCCAAATGGACGGTTTGAGACAACTCACTAGCAATCGACCTTTGCCCAATTTGGGTTATTCTTGACCGTTTGAGCTTCAGTATCTTGTCGAATGAATGCCACAGCGCTCGCATCCAGCTTGTGGCACTCGTCTTGCCACATGGTCTTGGCGCTGGCAAAATCTGACGCCTTTTGAAAAGTGCCAGGACAACCGATCTGAGAGAGGGCCCAGCTTACCGTCACTGCGGCATTCGGATCCCCATGAGCCAGATAAGGCTTCCAAGGGCCTTTAGAATAGTCTTCGTAGCCGGGCTCCCCCACAAGACCCGGAAGGTCGTCGGAATTGTAGGCAGCTTGCACGAGAAGGCTTGGTGCGGTCGCTAGGGCGACGCAGAAGAGCATCGAGCGCGTAAAAGAGGAATGCATTGTGGCAAGGATGTTTACAAGAGCGATTGGGCGACGTTCGGTGAGCAATCGAGCTGATGAGGAGGTGCGAAGGAAGTAGGAGCACCGTGTGCTTTTTGTAGTTCTCAGACGATAGAGACACGCCGCCATCTCTAGAGACTTGTGCACCACTGTCAGCGAGTGTCAAGCACCCTACGACAAAGTGCCAATCACGCAGACTGGGCAGCGTCAAGGCCTTGCTCAATTTGTTTGTGTGTCAAGTCCGGACATCGCGGTGCCGAGCAGTGCAGAGTGCACCGCGACAGAGATCGAACGGGATGGATCTCTGCACAATAGCAAAGTCAAATTGCGTCACTACGCCCAGCCGAAATGGACATTCTTCGTCTGCGGCCTTCGACATGTACGCAGCCTGACGTTCGATACATTTGCTCGAGGAGTGCGGCTGCACCCAGAGATACGCTGCACCCGTCGCAGAGCAAACATGGGCGCCTGAAGTAATTGGCAATCCTGAATTGGTGAGTATCTCTTGGCTTCATTGTCGTCCTTCAGGAACGTTCTGCAACCGGAACTCGGGTCAGGATCAGCCAGGGCCCAGGGGCACCATCACAACAAGTTGACGGTCCGCTTTGAGCTAGCTTACCAATCTTTAAGCGTAGAGTACTCAGCCCAGCAGATCAATTCGCGCGCTTGTTTGACGTACGAAATGTCGGCCTTAGGCAGGCTTTGCAACGAAGAGACAAGAGATTAAAGCTGCTGAGTAGAGCTGCTGGACTGCTCCCCTGCGCAGAAGTGCACTCACTAGCAGTCGACCTTCGCATAAGCCCGATCGTTTTTGGCAACCTCTGCCTCTGTGTCTTCCCTGATGAAGGGGACCGCTTTGGCATCGAACGACAAGCAGATTTGTTTCCAGATGTCACACGCATCATTGTAAGTTGCTGCAGGCCAAAAGTAGCCCGCGCATTTCTCTGGAGGTCGAGTATAGCTGACGGTTAGAGCCGCTACTGGATCCCCTTTCAGCGCATGTGGCTTCCAAGTCTTGTCCAGTCCACGGACAGCTGAACTTTGCATGAACAGAAAGATCACGCACAAATGCGCGAGGGGCAGAACACTTTTTGCCATCGTGATGGCAAAGGCTGGTGAAGCATTTCTTTCAAGATAGGAGATGATGGTCTTGAGGAGTCTTTCCTCTGCCGACTGGCTAGCTTTGTATCAGGGCAAAATTCAAAGCGGCCAGCATCGGTCTCAGACACGCAAGCCAGCAGGAACTTGTCGTCTGAGGTATGTGCAATCAAACGATAGCCACGAGGTAGCCGTCAATCGACGCCAGCCTCGCGCAGTGTAGACGCTCGCTGTCCAGAATGTGCAGTCACCGACTTTGACGCCCAGGGCGCGACGGATTACGTTGCAGCAAGACATCATCAATCGCTCAAGGTCGTTTTCCTTTCGGGATTCGAGTAAAGATGTTCAGTCGCTTGAGCACCATCCGCCGAAAGTGGTAGGGCCTCTGAATACGGCGGCCTGCGAGCTTGCAAACCGTTCCCGATGGTCGAGTTTAGAAATCGCGTTCACCAATTGGAGACCGTGGCTTCTCACTCTTGAGAGCTTGGTTAATCTTCAACTTCCTTCCATTCAGGGAGCAGAGAGTCATCAATGGCAACACGTCACGAGAAATCGACGGTACTGAGTCATCACGTGATACGCGGTAAGCATGCCGTCTTTTCCGAACACGTGCATGTGCACGCAGCTAAGGAGAGCTTTTTATTTCCGCTCGAATAGCGTCAATCAAGCCTTTCCGCATCGACCATGAACCGTTTCACTCGTCTTCTCTGTGCAATCTGCAGAAAAGAAGTAGATTCCATTCGCCGCTATTGGCGACAGTTGGTGGCTGTGCTCAGCCCGCGGCGGAAGTTTTGGGCGCGCTTGGCGATGCGCGCGGGGAGTCCGCGGCACCTCTCGAGCGTGCAGCGACGAGTCTTGCTCTTCGCGACAGTCGAGAGTGCAGCATTCGTGATTGCAATGGAGACAAGACGTTGAGGCACGGTTGGCATCACGCGGACAGGTCATCTATCGGCTTCTCCATGAAATCACAGAGTTGTGGATCAAGAGTGCCTAGGCTGCATCGGTGATCCTGCATCTGATTTGTAGATGTCCAACAGCGGTACTTGGAAGCGAGGAGAGTCATCCCGCGGTTCGACAAGGGCGAGAAATGTCCGAAGCACACCTATCAGCCTCTTCACCTTCCACCCACGAAGTTCGAGACGGAGTCTTGAGTATGTAAATGTCGAAGAGAGTTGGACCGATGGCTTGCATGGACACCGGTGGTCCGGATATACATGGGGCAGCGCTTATCCGCGAGACCGCAGGGACAGGGCGCACGCAGCGCACCAACTAACATCATCCAACTTGCTGCTGCTCTTGACTAAAGACGTCAGTACCTACACAAAGCGCTCAAGGCTGCAGGTCTCGCCTCGAAATGTGACGAGTCGCGAGTATCGTAAAAAACTACCTCTCTTCTCCGTCAGTCAAGGAGTCCATTCACGTCGAAAGTCAGCTCTGAAACCTGCTCTCTGGGCAACAAAAATAGCTCAAGATGAAGCAGTCGTCACACGTCTCCTGCAGAAGTGCTTCTTTTTAGGCCAGCCCTGCGCAGCTTTGCTTGCGGCAAGCCACAGCCACGAACAAAGGGATAGCTCGACTATGCTTCCGAGCTCTACGGGGCCCGAGACACTTGCGGGCGTCTTGAAAGGGAGTAATTCGGCTGGCTCCGCACTCGAGTTGTCCGAAGCAAGTGTGCAATACATTCGCGAACAGGCGCAAAAGCAAGCGGCAGGCATGTGCCTTGTCAAGAGCTGGTTTCAGAAGGATTGCTGGGCCAACAAAGCCGTCAACTCGTTGAAGCTTAGCTGACTGGGCAGCGCACTCAGGTCGGTTCAGAGATGGGCACACGAATATGTATAGACACGCCTAAAAGTCCCCCTTACTTTGAGTCCGCCGCAGAAAAAAGCGAGCAATGCTGGTGCACAGCTCCTTCACATCAGTCCCGCCTCTTGCTTTTCAGCTGCCGTCAATGCGAGATATGCTGCGCTCCCACGAATTACTCGCAGCTAGCTACGAACGGCTGGACAATGAAGATGTCGAGGGAAGGCACAACAAGACTTATCGGTGGCATAGCCGAATGTGCGGGGGGACTCGGGCGCTGCCAGTCATTGTCATCCTTATCCTCGTCTCAGTCATCAGCACTGCGTACGTCCTTTGGATTCCTTCGCCTACGCGCTCGTCGACGATGTCGTCCAAAGCTGGCTTGGACGACTCGTCATTCGCCAAAGATGAGGGGGAAGACCATGTAAAGCTTTCAATTTCCTCTCGCAACGCCTACGTCACGTATGCCACGGATGCGAACGCACTCTGCAACACGCTCATAGCACACGACACGCTTCTACAGACCAGTCCACGCGCAGATATCGACCGAGTGGTGATTGTGCCAACGACTTTGCCGCTCGGGCGGTATCAGCAAGGACTTGAACAGCTCGGAGTCAACGTACACAGACATGACCTTCTCGCTCGCTCTTCCTTCTCTACTTGGTCCCACTCACTTACAAAACTGAGCATCTTTTCAGCTCGAAGGAATCTACGATCGCGTAGTATACTTTGATAGCGACGCTTGGATTCTACGCAACCTGGACAACTTGTTCGAGCTGGAAGATTGGCTTTGTATGCGCCCAGAGCTTATTGGTTACCGCAACCCTTCTTTCAATCCACATTGCTCGTTTTGCAACCTAGCAATAGCACTTTTGAAGGTCTCTTGCAGCTCTCTAAGAAGCAAGCGGGCTTCGACATGGACCTGCTCAACTCGTATTTTCGCAACACGACCGCAATTTTGCCTTCCTCATTCGTCGTCCTCAATGGCGATTTCAAACAGCCAGGCGCTCAACTCTCTTTCGTGCCTGGTGCGACGGTGGACCAGCTTGCTCAAAGGACGTACATCCTGCACTTTTCCGAAAGTCCGAGAGGTGGACACGGCAAACCTGAAGATAGGAAAGCAGTCAACGCACCCGCAGACGCGCATCCGCTCTTTCGGGGAGCTTTCGATCGTTATTGGACCCTCGAAGAGCAGCTGTGTGCGCCCGACATCGCGTCGGGAGGTGCAAAGTCCAATGCCGACGTGTCAACGCCTTCAGCCAAGTTCTGATCGGTGGTAGGGCAATTTGACTCGAGGGACCATCCGAGAAATCAAGCCCTAAGCAGAGGCTGCCGGCAGGAAGACAAATGGGGCGCAACCCCTCGATGTTGCACTTTCACTATCTGACCTGAGCTCTACCGCGGGTCTCGCGTCAAAACATTACCAAGCCAGCCCTCGTAAGAGTCGCGACCACACGCAGCGAACACGTAGCGCATCACCGCTGCAGGCGCGGAGGCCCGCACAATTGTTCGGGGAGACGAACACGGTTGGAGAGTGCAATGGTCCGGGGTCAAGTGCGTCGAGCGATGCAGACAATTCACGCCGTGTGTTGACACTCGATGTAGAGATTGCTCTACAAACCCGAAGAAGTCACACCTTGGCTTCCAAGGTTCAGCCCGGCTCCGGGCTTCCGAACGTCTGACGCAGACCCAGCGACAAGTCTGCGTCGCTCAATTGGCAATCGGCAGCGAGGACATTTCCGAGCGGGTTTGCCGGCAAGAGTGTTGCAGTGCCTTCAGTGCTGTATGACACGCTAGCCTTTCGCAGGCCCTCAACGATGACAAAAATAGCGCATCCTGACGAGCTTGCGGCACGCGAGCACTGTGCGCTCGGAGAGTCTTGGGGAAACCATTGGCCCAGACTAGGACTAGACCAACAGCAACGTAGGCTCAATACAACGTTTTTCGTGCATCCAAGTCAGCAACAGAGCAATTCGTCGACCAACAACTATAAGTACGGGTGGATTTTCCCACTCCGTTCTTCCGTTCTACTTGTTACTGCCGACTTCACCGAAGCAAAGCATAAGCACACCATCTCCAAGCTACTGTTTCACCTCCTATAAAGCAAAGCCCCGCACACTTGGGAAAGACCACATGAGGCTCCTATCTGCGGTTGCCATCGCGTGCATGTTTCAACTAGCCCACGCCGGGTTGACGGTCACTTGGGGCAAAATTCACTGGCCGTGCATCGAGTACAAAAATCCAGGCACTTCTCAAGAGGCGTCACAACAGTGGTCTACTTACTGAGTGCAAATCGGCTGCTGGGGCTGCCGTTCCTACTTTCAGTCCGACGAACGCGTGAGTCCCTGAGGCTGTGGAGGGATAGGGATAGCTATGCGAGGGAGCAGGACGAAGCGAGGGCACTCAACTCAATTACTGACCTCCTTATGCTGCGCCGACCCTCGTAGAGCTGGCACTGCCACAGTCTCATGCACGTAGGTATTCGACGCAGCCTGTGGCAACATTTTTCTCGTGAAGTGTCACTCAAACACCACGGAAGCTTACCACTGGAGCTGGCTGAATTGGACAGAACAGAGAAAACTCATTTATATCTGACCTTGTTGACTTTTATCTTCGTCGCCCAATAGGCTGCAGTCTAACCTCGGCACTGCAGACATCACCTTCGACGTGGCCAGGGCCCTGTGCTGGGTCAACGGTAGCTAGGATCTGCACAAGGCGATCGGAGCCAAGCTCACTTCAACGAACCAGCCAGAGAAGAGTGGGGGAGAAGGATGGGAGACGGGATTGCACGACAACCGCATTTGGTTGCGTTAAAAGGTGGCAACGTGCGCCTGAGCTCATACGACAGCCCTCGAATGAATGCGTGATACAATTTGTGCTACATTTAGTTGAACCGGAAGGCTAAAAACGCCTCGAGTGGACCAGAAAGCAAAACAAGCGTTGTCGCCGATGTCCTACAGAGGGATGATGGTGTTCTATTGCAAGTGCGTGCTTGTGATCTGATGTACATATGCATGCATGAACGCGTGCGCGACAGCGTGCAGGTGTTCGACCGCTGAGACATACGGGCCGAGCGTTCTACCTGCGCGTGCAGCAGCTCAGGGGTGTGAGAATGTGAGAAGACGAGACGTCTGCGGCTCATGCCGGTCAATCGAACAGGTGACCAAATCCGTACAAGTCTAATGGGGACGTCGTTAGTGATGAATTGAATATTGAACAGTCTAGTCACATCGACCCGTTGACCAATTGAGGCGCCAGTGTCTGCGGAAGCGTGCTGAACACCAAAGTCGCTCAGGCCACGTCGGCTCGTAAATGAGTCCAGGCGCCATTGTCCCGGGGACCGTGCCGTACTTCCAAATCGCTGAGCTGGAGCCTCTGAGACGACCTTGTATTAGAATCATCAACGAGACCGATTACGCGGCGTGCTCTGCAAGTTGATGCTCTCTCTGATCCGCAAAGAATCATCATCTTGTGCACCACCAACCCTCGTTTCTCCACTGTTTCTCTTTTTCTGGCACAAATCAATCACGACCCGTCTCAACTGACAGCATGAAGCTCTTACAGATGATGCTCATAAGCAGCCTGGCTGGACTAGTCATTGCCGGCTGCAATGTGAACTGGTCACTCAAGCAGGCACGTTGTGCTGGCTACAGTCAGCCTATCAACGCACTTACGGCAAAAACGGTATGGGGAGAGAAGTGTCGTGCATACAGCAATACAGCGTTGCCCGACTTCCAACCCATCTCGTGAGTTTTCTGGCCTCCTGCGCCCTGATTCACTGCTAACGGCCGACTCTACGCCGCAGTGGCAGTGCGGTCAGTGCTACTGTGGAATGCACGTGAGACGGCTGCCCTACAGATGTGTGCGCATAACGAGGCTCGAAGCTCACGTTAATGACGCACACATTCATCACAGATACGTGGAGGGTATCAACGGCATCCCTACTGAGATCAGCGGTGCTCGTAAGATTGCCGATCAGCTCTGCTGGTCACACGACTAGTCAGTCTTGCACCGACTGCGAGACCTGCCACAGTCACTCCAGTGTGTGTGCGTCGATCAGTCAATCATTGCAGACCTTATGATGTTGCTCACGAGCGTCCAACCTGTTCACCTCCAGTCGATGAGTGTACAAGGATGCGCCCATAACGTCAACATTACATCGTCGACTACAGGAGAAAGCCCTGAGAGCAGTCGAGCTTCACGCAGACCCAACTTCTTGCTCGCGGTCCCGCTACACTCGAGTGGATCATTCAATGTGAAATCTTTCAGGTCCAGTGTGGACTTTTGTCAATCACGAGTTTGCGCTTGTGACCTAAATGTCCTCCAGTCATGCGTCAGTGGGTCTCAGCTGCACCGAATGAGCCGCTTGTGGGCTGGCAAGGTGTTTCCACGGGCGCATGCTCCGCGAACAAAGCGCAGTTTGTATGCGCGTACTTTGCATCACGCACGTCTCAAGCTCGAGCAAGACCGAGATATGAGTCTAGATGAACAGCGCCACGTACGGGGAGTACCGTGTTGAGGGCAGTTTCAGCATTGTAACCCGCGCCCCCCAAATTTATGGGATTCGACGTACTCGCGCTTCACCTTGACCCTGTTGTGAGAAGAGATCAATTTCTCATCAAGTGGGGGCTCAACTGAAGGAATTGGAAGAGACTTACATATGCATAGAATGAAGGCCCGTGCGCTATTCAGACCGTTCAGCTGCCTCATGCAGAGAAGGCCACCGTGCGCTCAACAGACACTCCGAGGACAGTTCTCTCTGATAGGGGCTGTCACGTGTGCGCGCACGCATACATGCATGTACACCTGAACATCCACTCGCTCTGCAATACCATCATCATCTCTTGTGTGTTTCAGGCGTGGAAAGAGGCCTCAGCGGGTCAGATGCATGCTCTCGCACGAGCCCGCAAGTATACGCACGAATCCGCGAGCGAGCATGCCCATACGAGGTTGCGCGTGTCTACGTCTCGACTGCGGAGAGCGCAGTTACGGACTCGGAGTACTAATATTTACCGTAGATTGAACCAGGCGCTGCCGGGGTCAAGCATTGATTACTGCTGCGCGTAACCACGCCCCACCAGCCCAAGGCAACAAGAAGGGGCGAGTGAGGGCCCTCTTGAGCAGCCACATTAGCTGGAAAGACAGCCTGGTGCTCGTGGGATGGTCAATCACGAATACAGGAAGCAGAAACACCTCGCACGAGGACTCTAGGACGCTGGCAGGATGTATGAAGGCGTTTGGCAGCAAGGCGCTTGGCGCACGGGTCTACGGGGCCAGTCGGCGCCGTTCTGTAGGAATCAGCTAAAGGTATATAAGCTGCCACAATGCCCCACCCATCTCAAGCAAATCCTACATCGCCTCACTCGCGACAGCCACCCCGTTACGCTCCCTTGTGCAAAACCATCGTTCACAATGTTGAAGCGCAGTCTTGTCGACATATTCGTCTTGCTCATCCTTGCGTCCGCTGTAAGGTCGACCAAAGTGACGTGGGCGAACCCCAAGTCGGGGTGCAACCTGTTGAACCACCCTGTGAATGATGATGCCGCCAGGACAGACTGGAGGGGAGCTTGCATTGACCTCTGGAAGGGTGTCCCCGGGTTCAATCCCACAGGGTGAGTGCCAACCAAGCAAGGGAACGAAGCGTGGCGCACAGGAGCGGAGAGGAGAGTTCACTTTATCTATCTCTCGGATGCCGTGCGTAATCACAGCGATCACTGACCCAGTCTTCCTGAACCGCAGAGGACAGACCGCCGAGGTGTATTGCTTGTAAGTAAAGTTGTATCGGTGCTCACGAGCGCATAACCCTAAGCCCGTACTCTGCCCGTACCATCGTTGACTACGCCCGCGCTTAATGTCGCAGCGACCTGACCAAGAGGCAAGCCAACGGACAAGTCGTAGATTATATTCCAGCCGTTGCCAACTACCTATGTTGGCCGATTATCTGATAGAAATAGGTCAGTCCCAATCAGACACTCAATTGAGGGTGCTTCGTCTGAAAGCTGACATACGTTCACCTACGTATCTTTGGCTGCTTGAACTGCAGCAGACCCTTCGCTGACCCGCCTGTACAAGTGACACATGGTGCTATTCAGCTAGTCCCAAGAAGCCCGCCGCGAAGGCATCGTAGATTCTGGCTGTGCCGTCGCAATCTCACTCCTGCCCGCCCTCTTGCCCTTTCCAACACCCCTCACCATCCTGATTTGATCAAGCCAAGCAGAGTCGATGTAAGCTCAATGAATCACTAGGTGCTTCGTCCCGTCGTCAATGCGTAGAACTGCCTGAGGTCCAGGTTCCGGCAATGAAGATATGTGTTGACCTTTCAAAGTCAAGAGCTGAAGATACGTCTTCCAACGTGCGGCTGCTGTCTGTCTACGTCTAGTCAGGCGGTATAGGCGGTAAATGACCTCGCCATGCAAGGGCAAGACTGCGCGTTTTATTCTGCGTTTCCTATAAATTGCGTCTCCTGCCTGATATGTTTATTATTTACACCGATAGTAGTCATAATCGGTGAGTACACACATTTTTACGACCTGCGCGTGTGATGCTCGGAAATCATGCAGTCTCGTCGTGATTAAGGGAACACCGCGCTTCGCTTGGCGCCGCGCAGATACACCGATATACATGCAGCAGTCAAATACTCAGATTGATCCATGCAAGCTGGGCTGTGCCGAGTATAAATATTATGATGTATAGATAGCTGCATGTCCGCGGAGAGTGCCCCGCGGAATGCTGACCAGCACATCGTATCCACCATTGACGTTCAGTCTTGAGTCGCAAATTTGAGGTGCAAACGTTTGTGATCCGTGGCAGAAATTAGCGCTGATTACACCGAATGCTCCGGGATCGATGTATGGTCAATCTATGCGCCAATACATACACGTCCCGCCCGCGGAGCGCAACATCGAGCACTGACCTAGGTGAAGCCTCAGCGCGGACACCGCAGCCATGCAGCCATGCAGCCATGGTAATCCGGGGCGGACTCGTAAGCCTTTAGCCAAGGTGCGGTCACCTGGAGTGGGACTGAGAGGAAGAGGTCGGCAGAGCGAAAGCGGGAAGTCCATCACAGTATGATGCCCATGTTCGCACGCCGCTGTCGCAGTCGACGAAAGGTATAACTTGCCAGCCTCGACACCCATCAAGAGGAAATCGTCCACCCAGTACTCCGTCTTTTGCTCGCTACAGTCACTCCACTACGCTCTGCCTACTCCCACGACTAACAACTTTACACTCACGGCAAAATGGTCGCCCACGGCGTTAGTCAATGTCTGCTCATCTTGCTCGTTTTTGCGTCCGCTGTGACGTCGTCGACGGTAACGTGGGCGCATCCTAAGAGTGGATGCTCCCTGCTGTACAGCTTTTACGATGATACATCGGCCGCCAAGGACTGGAATGAGCTTTGCGAAGCTATTTGGGAGAGTACCCCTACCTTCACCGCTAAGGGGTACGTATCGAGCGAACACAAAAGATTTAAAGGCGCAATGCTTGCTGCATGCATTCGAAGCGCTTCGCTGGCAGACAGGGCCATTGCTGACTCAACCGAGTCCCGAATCCCAGAGGATCTACGGCTGATGTGTCGTGCTCGTGCGTAAGGTTGAACGATTTGTGTGTCCGAGACTTGATCTTGACGACCAGAATGCATTGCCGGTCTTGTCTGGGCTCTGCTGGGCTTGTCGCTGACTACGTCACTCTTGTTCATACAGCAATGGCAAGACTCAACCCCTTCTCGACTATTTATGCTGGCCCACGATTGGTTGAATCGTGTAAGTCTGCGCTCTTTCTCGGGGTGCATATTCGCTCGATGCCGGTCTTTCCTGACCACTTGCGGCCGCCCGGACTGCCGCAGACTCTAAGCAACCTTTCCGGGCGATCGACGAGCGGATGTCTCGCACATTGGACGACGCTACTCGACTAGCACCAAAAAGCATGATTTCAGCCTCCTCTCCGATCGCTACCTCCTTCTGCCCCTTGCCCTCTCCATCATCATCACCATCGACCTCCCTCATCAGGTGGCCGCGAGCTCAATGAATACGTCTTGACGTCACTAGCGGCGCTTCTGCTGCGATTGTAATTGGTGATCGTGGTGAAGGACAGAGAGAAGACGCTAGTGAAACGTCGTCCATGAAGCTCAGACTCAGATAAAGCGCATATCACGTGACATGTACAGCATGGCTTGCGTGCATGCGTGTATGCGTGAAAATCACTCTCCTTCTTGGCTAGAACATCATCGTTCTTTCATTTGACTCCTGACCACTTCGTCCTCCCAGCAAGGCGTCAATAAAGATGCCAGTATGTGTCGATCGCGGACCACCCATCGCTTTGGTCTACCGTACTTGCAGAGCCAGCCTCTGTCCGGCTTTACTCCGCGGAGCCTGTCCCGGATCACTCTGGACACATCCATTCGCGCGGTGGTCTCGTAAATACCCTTACATTGTCTTACGATTTGATTTTAATTGCAATCAAAGACCACAAATTTTTCCATCTGCAACATCATAGTAATTAGGGAATCGCCATCATCCGCGGGCCACGATCGACTTTTGCAGCGTGCGCGCAGCGTGAGGATTGTCTCGCCGCGGATCCGAGAGTCTCGACGGAGTGATGCATGGTGTCTGCGCGAATGGAGACCAGCAGCGCGCGGACCGTCGATTTATATTAAAACGCCAAAAGGACGCTTGTGCAATAAAGGCGCCGCAAGTCGCTAGAAATTACTCGGGTGGTGCCATCGCTGCCCAAAGGGGCGTGTGTACTTGTCTTCAAGACCAAGCGCAACGGCGGGCGGATGAGTTTTGTGGTCTATCAGTCCAGATCCGCTGCGCAGCAACGTTCCTGTCATGATAGCTCGACAAATGCGGAGGACATGTCTGTGTGCTCAACGCCGGTGATGCAGGTGCGGACAGCTCTCTGTTCCGTCGAGCGCTTGTCATTGCCATACCACAATGTTGCGGCCGCTGTTCTCGCCACACAAAGATGCCACAGCTCTACGGAGGGGCGGTGATCTCTCACGGAGGAGCATTGAATCTCCCACAAGGCTTCCACGAGTCCGCGGGGACTTTGGCAATAGGGTAGCGGTGCGAACAGGGGTACGTCATTAGCTAATTCTCTTTACTCGGTAAAAAGGGGGCTGCAGGCGTTGTCTTCACGAAAAACGAAAGGGTAGTGATACTGCAGGTCGGATGTACTTTGGGTGTGATTCGTGAGACGAGGGTGCTTGCCACATCCGAGTAAGAATCGGGCTGCATCTCTCAACGCATTCAGGCTGCGCTGAAGTTCGACATAGCGAGGGGCAAAGTGCCCTGCAACGCATGCCGTGTGCATTCTGGAGCGATGCGACCGGGGGGCTGCAAGCAGGCACGATCGAAATCTTGAAAAGGCGGACCTTGTCTTCTCACGCCTTACGGCCTATTTTAGCAACCTGACTTCACAGCTTCCGGAGCAAATTCAACAAACCGAAGCCAACGCATTGCAGTCTCAAGTCAAGACTTGACCACGAAAACCTTGCCGAAGTCTATCAAAATGACGAAGCTAATACATCTGACTGGACTGTTGATGCTACTACCCGCGACTCTAGCATCTGCCGTGGTGGACTACCACAAGGGCCGCCCAGGCTGCACCGGGTTTAAGAATCCAGCAGATTTCGACGACGCCAGGGCCTTCTGGTACGAGGCGTGCAAAAAAGTCGTCCCAAACCCTCCTGAAGTTCCCTTGTTTACCGATGTCGGGTGAGTAGCGAGGTGTCCTCGGAGAGAACGTTCGGTCAAGTCGTCCAATCTCCTAATTTGTTCGAGTCCTGCCCAATTTTCAGTGAGTCAAGGGCTGAAGGAGACTGTCGGTGAGTCTTTGCTATTTTGTACCTTCACCCTGCCTACAAAAAGTGGATCATCGTCTCATCTCTTGCTCACCTTTCTTCGTGATTGGATGTTCCCGCTAGTTCCACACAAAAAGACAAACTGGGCAATTGGATAAGCGTGGCGTCCACTGTGGCAACGAACCTTTGCTGGACTGAGATTCCTTGGTAGATTCAGTCGGCAGGCTCCTGCGGGGGAGGGGGTGGCTTGCTATCAAAGCAAGGGGAAATGATGACGACGTCCCTCACCAAGTACAACATCAGTGAAGTCATGCTCCAAAGCGTTGGTGGATTTCACTGAAGAGACTCTGAATCGCGGCTTTACGTCCCAAGTATAGGTCCAATTCAAAGCACGCCAAGCGACGAGCCAATGAGAATCTTCGGCACACTTTATGTTCACCTATCGATGTGACCAGGCTTGGCACTTGCCAGCTGCTTTGCGTCCCAACAATTACGTCGATAAATTGTGCGCTTTGATACTGCGCTCCAGGTATTAGGATCAAGGGAGAAGAGTGCGCAAAGACGTGCAAAAGTGGTCTGGCAGGTTGGCTTGCTTAGCGCTTGCTTCGTTGATCGATTCAGCAGCCTAATGAGTGAGAGCGTAGGTGGTGGCTTCGCCTGACGACATCGAGCTGTTCCAAATTCCGAAGAGTGCGATTTCTGCAAGGGTGTTGATGCACCGCGGCGAGGCAAGATAAGCGAAGACCTCAAAGAGAACGCCACCAGCCGTCCGTCGACATTCGGATTCGTGAGCCGTGCGTCCACCTACCTGAAAGGGCTCTCAAGCTAGTCCGGCCCACTCACATAAGAGGCTCTGAGGCTACTCAAAAATATTTTCGCGGAGCCGAGCTTACCCATGCCAGAGTGAGATTGGATTCTCCCCGTCAGATATGCGAGGCTGACGGTGAATGCAAAGGCTAAATGGGGACCTTCGTGGGGACTTTATCATTGAGGTCCTCAATGAATATCTTCTCAAATGCAGCTACTCCGAGTTCACTCAGTGCAAGATGAGGAAGGCTTCTAATTAGTCTCTCCGAGTAATCACGTGCATTGATATTTTAGATTTGTGCCTCCAAGTGGCCGACGTGCTTTGATGTTCTGAAAGCTTCGCGTGAAGCGGCCATCGCATCACATGGTGAAGTACAAAGGTCAGCTGCAACAACAGGCCGACGAATTGCGGTCTCATCAGCTCGAGATACTCACATGTTTTTGACTTCGACACGCATCAACACCAAGCCGACAAAAGACGACAGAATGGGCCGCTCTTTGAGTCCTCTCTTTCTGACTCTACTTCTGATGCTTGTATGTGCGGCTTCAGCATCGATTCGCGTAAGATACAACTCGCGACGTCCGAACTGCCAAACCACCTTTGCACCGCCCATGGACGACGGCGCTGCTCTATCCCAGTGGTGGCAAGCATGTCGCCAACAGTTGAGCAAGGCTATTCCCTCTTTCGTAGGCGATGGGTGAGCCTTTGCGGAGGACGATCGCTCTACATTCGCCACTCTCTGTGCTCATCGTATCATCTCATAGGAACAAAGGAACAGCTACGGTCAATTGTCCGTGAGTCACTATACGCTATCCAGACGAGCCTGGGCATGTGCTGAATACAGATCGGACCGAGTAGCGCAGGCAATGAGGCGAAGGCAAATCGCGATGCTGCGGCGTACGCCTGCTGGACCCTGATATGATGCTTTTGGCGGGTTCACCAAGCAGGTGAATTGCCGTCGGTTCTTCTTGCCTGTCGAACGCGTCGAATCACCACGAGTCTCTGACGCCGCCCGTACTCTTTCTGCAGCAATGCTTATGAGTTCGCGATCTAGGGGCAGTGTAATCAGCGGAAAGGGCGTTGCATGACGGCGCTTTTGTAGCGCGCCTTGAAAGTATTGTTGAGTGCAGGGTCCCCTTCTCCGCATGAGGCACCTCGACGGTCAAAGTAGGGCAGGGGCCTCCTCTCTATGCATGTATATAAGTCTCTTCCAGTTCCTTCAGTCGAGTCCCCACTCGCTACCAATTTGATCTCTTCTCACAACAAGTCTCAGCCTTGCCCTTCCGGGGACCGGAAATCAGCATGAGCTTGGAGTGCGGAAGCTCTCACGCTGCAACTCAGTTCCTTGAGAGGCATCTTGTTTGGAAAAACCACAATTTAAGACATTCGACTCCGAGGGATAGCCGTCAGCTTGCCGGGCGGCTTCTCACATTGTGTGTAAAGCGTTGAAGCAGCTTGCGGCACGCCAAACCCCGAGCTCGAGAAGCACGCCAGGTGCTTCGCCATCACTTTCTCTTCCGCGATACACTCCACGGATGAAGCTCATTGGACGGTACAGCAACTAACACGCAAATTCTTGCATTCGCGTATTGTAACTAGTCTTGAGCAAGACCTCCGCGCTTTTGCTTTGTGGGCAGTCTTTCCTGAGTAGTGACGGCAACTGGAGCGCTTTGAGCGATTTGTGCTACGAATTGGTTTGCACTGACCGCACGGAGTCACGGAAGAATGCGCGCAGCGCATGCGACAGACAATCACGAATCTCCATTTGACACTTGATGTTTGCGCCGACCCCTAATTTGCTTCGCATATCAGCATCCCCCTGTACCGCGGCCGGCCAGTGACGGAGCACCCATACCGGTTCATTCAAGAAGTCTTCTCAAAGTGAGATGCTCCGCGGGTCTACAGATGGTGCACCTTGATTCGGTTCACACAAGTGTTGCTCGCTGCTGCGTGGACTCAATTGTGACTTCAGACAGACTAAAAGGGGGGTATTCCAAATGACACGTCCACCCGAGGCTGAATTGCTGCTTAGCCGTCAGACCTCCGCCGTCGGCGACTCCGCGGACCTCGAAGTGCGATTCGGGAGGCATCAAGTAAACGTCTCAGCGCGGTCGTGCTGCGAGTCTCGCCATCGAGTGTCAGCACCGCGGACTACATAAGAGTGCGTGATTTGTCCCCAAGTCTTCTTCGCCCACCCAACACTCACAGCTTTTGTCCCCAGCGAACAAAACTCTGACCGTCCAGCAAAATTCGAGCCATCGCGCAACTCCATCCAAATTCCAACTTCCGAGATGAAGGTGTTCTCTGTGCCAGCCCTTGCAGCTATGCTTCTTCTTCCAAGCTTTTCCGTTTCGGTGATCGTCCATTGGAAGGTGCAAGCTGCAAATTGCGCACCGTTTGTGACAGCTTCGAGCAAGGAGGATGCTGCGAAGAGGTTTGCCTACAAGTGCTACGCCATATTTGGTGCTTCCCATTGGGCCAACAGCATTGTGTGAGTCGAGACTTTAGCGACAGGCGCACGGCGCCATCACACCGTCAACGCTCGAGCAACCAGACCTTTTTGCTAACTCCATCCACGCTCCCAACAGCGATGGGGAAGCCAATGGGCTTTGCACGTATGTCGAGAATCCACTACTAATGTCACCTAGAGTGAATGGTGGATGACGAACACCCTTCCCATTCCCGCTCTCAGTGTAACTGATCCGAAGACGGGAAGTCCCGCAGAAGCCGCAAAGCTCATCTTCGACGCCTTTTGCTGGTCGTATGAGAATTAGTCAGCAAAAGCATGTCGAATAAGTCAACAATAGCATGTTGGCGATCCAGTGAGTAGATTTGTTAAGACCCTGAATGTCGCAGAGTTGATGACTGACGCAATGTCTGGGTCGTTTCGAAAGCTGGCTTTGAGGAACTCCGGAAGGCTTCAGCGTAGCTGGCATCGTGGGCAGTGTTGTGCTACGAAATCCAAGCGACGCACGCGCGCGAAACTTGCTATTCGATTATAACTTCAAGCGAGAGTGCAGGGGCGTGTTGTGAAGCGCAGAGCGCACCTCGCAAGCAGACTATGAAGTGATCACGATAGCACACTCAAATATGAATCTATTGGTAGACGTGGTTTGCATGCGAGTAAGGATGTGCATCAGGTCACGTGTCTGACACAAGCTTCGCCGTGTAGCCTGACGAAAGAGTTCGGAGAGGGTTCTTGCGAGTTGATTAGGGCTCAAGGTGGTCTTAGCCTGGTCATGTCCGAGCGGTTGCGAGAGTGCAAAGCATGACCGTTGCGCGTGTTGTGAGAAGAGAACGACTTTACCTCGAGTCAGTGAGTGCCGGCTTGACTGCAATGCTAATGCTGCTTGAGATGTGTCAAGCCTTGCCGTCGTTTCCGAAGTATGCCGGAGTGAGATTCTCGAAAGTAAGAGGCCATTCCGCAGGCGGCTCCTATTCAGCGCAGAGTGATGTCCGCGGGCGAGGCAAGGTAAAGGCTGCACATACCTGGTGCAGTCATCGTTGCACCCTCGCTTCATGGTTATGAGCGCCCCAGAGTGTCTGAATCCGAGGTTGACACTGCCAGCAGTCACATATTGTTCCTACTTTCCGACTCTGCGGCGTCCGGTGAGGTGCGCCAAATACAGTGAGCTTAGAAGCTTGGAGAGAAGACAGCGACGGTGGCTCAGTCGGCAGGAATGTAGGTATATAAACCAGACGATCAAAGCACTCGGACCAGCTCCCCCGTTCTGCCTTTCACAGCATATCTTCTACACCGATCCAACAGCAGAAAGCAAGCAAAAAGCACCTCTCCCTCAGATTCGGACCGTACAAAGCCTTCGAAGCGTATCACATCAAAATGCTCTTCTTCCGCTCTCTGCTGATCCTCACGCTGGCCTCGGTAGCGATGATGAGCAGCGCTAAAGAAATCAGAGTCAAATACACTGAGCGGACCAAAGATTGCAAGAGGGACATAGAGCTTCCTTGGAACGACGAAGATGCTCGAACGCTGTATGTCGGAGAGTGCATCAATTGGAAGGGGTCCGAGGCAGAGGCCCACCTCAACGGACTAGGGTGCGTCGAGTCGTATAGATGACACAGAAAAAAAAAAAAAAAAAAAAAAAAAAAAAAAAAAAG